GACCAGATTCGGTCTATGTTCCCTGAGAGCTGCGCTTCATTCAAATGTACGGTGTTAGATGCTGAGTACCAGAAAATTATGAACCTTTTAACCAAATAACCAAGTAACCAAGTAACCTGAGTATTTTGATTTAAATACAAATGGTCTTTCAAGTAAAATTGACTTGCTTAATAGTTATTTAATAGATAAAAATATAGATATTCTTTGTCTATGCGAGCATTTCTTCTGTGATGAGGAAGTTTTAAAATATTTATTTGCAGACAACTTCATACTGACTAGCAAAAGTAAAATTCTATGCAAAATCTTAGTTTTAGACAAATGCTCTCTAGACATCCACGCGGAATGTTTTACTTATCAACGTATACAGGTCGGGAAGCCACAGTGAACCTTATCTGTTCATGTCTAGGTTAGAGCTTCTTCAAAATGAATTTTACTGTCAAAAAAGAAACATTGTTATTACTGGTGATTTTAATATTAAATTTAACTTGACATCTGACATTCTATCAACCGAGTTTCTCAATTTACTCGCCTCCTTTGATTTATTCCCTACACTTACTGATCATACCCGTGTGCTGCTTACTGCTGGTAGTGTAGATCCGGCGCTCTCGGGTCATTCAGCAATATTTATTGAATTATGTTTAGACGAACTACTCAGATGGACCTGAACAATCCCTGTGCGTCCTTTGATGGTGTCAATTGGGAACCTTTTTTTGAAAATACCCTCGATTCTTCCCTTGCTACAAGACAACTGCTCCAGATTTATACAACGAATATTGAAAAACATTTCCAAGTCTGTCCTTTGGTTCTTTGGTTCAACTATCACATCAAAAATAAAAGAGTGATTAGTGGTCTGAGTATAGACTGGCCAATGTTAATTACAAAAAACTCGTTAGAGAAACTTTAATTATACATGAAAATTACCCGATCTTCAACGCCGAAATCGATTACGCAAGATGAATTCAACCTGTTCTTCGCGAATTTAGTTAAGGAACTAATTGTGTCCATTGATAAATCGAATGACCCTTATATGCATTTAAGAAAATCCAATCTTTCTTTTTGAATCCAGTCTCTGAAGGCGCGACATTATTATGAGCCTAAGTAATTCAAGTTCCACTGATTGCTTCGGTTTAAATTTAATAATAATAAAGCACAGTATAAAGTATATGTGATAGCTAGCTATAACAAATGCCGTATTTTCGAGTAGCGAATTTCCTACAGATTTGAAGATTTCTAAAGTAATTCCCGTACATAAAAAAAGGGGATCTAGATATTCCAAATAATTTCAGACCTATCGCTAATAGCCTCATTTTTTAGGAAAGTTATTGAAAAGGCTTTAAAAAACTGTTTAGTCATGTTCTTTGAAGCGAACCAATTTCTAAGTGAATCGCAGTTCGGTTATCGTGACAACAAAACTATTACACATGCGCGTATGCATTTTGTAGGCAGGGTGGTTCAAGGGTTCGATGATGACGACATTTCACAATACGATCTTACTAAAGTCTTTGATTGTGTGGCCCACCGTCTACTCTTAAATAAATTAGAATTCTATGGCATCAGAGGTATTCCTCTAAGATTAATCGAATAATATCTCAATAACTTGGAGCTACTTAGTCATAATACGCTGTGATGAACTTTTAATATTTTGTGTCCTATTATTATATTTGTCTATAATATAAAAGTTATTAGTTACTTCTCTATATTGTATCAATTTTTTTTTATTTTGGACGTACCTTTTGTTGGTGTACAACTTACCTGAGTGGTTAATAAAGTTCTATTTTATTTTATTCTAATGCGAATCACGAAATAATGCAAATTTAAGAATATGTCCAGAGTATCTGAAGTAGGACGATTTATTTTTGGCAAGGTCTTGTGTGTTGTGTAATCTTATGTGTAGTGCCATGTCTTAGATGCGTAAGTTGTAATAGCGAATACCAAAATCACAAATAATTTCATTTTGTGGTGTTCAGAAGTTGACGAACCTTGCCATATAACTTTATGGTTGCGTTACGTGCTATTGCCAATCTACATCCTTCTTTCAGACATCTTAACAACTTCTAATATCTGAAGATTATTTTCGTCATTTTTTTTTTATTAGATTTAGACCATATTTGTTGCCGATTCTCCTCAGTTTTCTCATTATTTCGACCTATTCTTTAGAACAGTGATTAGTTGCTTCTATGGAATGAAATTTTGCTAGTGCGCAGGAAGAATTTTATCAGTACAATTCTAAAAAAATAATAAAAGGAAACTAAGTTTAATTTTCGAAGATTTCTTAAGGAAGGCTAAAAAATAAAGCGAACAAACCACGTATCTCCCATCACGAAAACCCCTTCCAACAAAATTGGTAATTTTTTTTCCTTATTAAACCCTGTTTAAAAACCATCGGCCATGATTTTCTATTAAATATAAATATGAGACTAAAACAAACCATTCAAAATTATTTTCAAATATACAAGCTGATTCAAAAATATATGGAAAATATTTTTTCATACTTTTTTATACTCAAGGTTGTTTTATACTAGGTTGTTGTGGTCTATACTGAGTACTCTCGGATTTATTTATTTCGTCAAAAATGCCCTGTGTTTAATACCCTATTTTTTTGACGCTGTAATTTCATTATTCCAACAATTTTATGAAGTAATGCAGTATCATCTACTTGTCTTGAAGTGAGCTCGAATCGTTTATGCTAAGTGAGTAAAAATTAAAAATATTAATTTTAGATAAAAAAGCAAATGAAACCTGTATGCCCGTATATTATAATTCCATGAATTACATGAATACCTAAACTTTTAAGAAAAAATATTTCCTTTCTTTCCATTAATTTACAAATTCTGCCTTTCTTAAAGCCCAAAATATTATTAAACTACAAAATAAAGTTTTCAAATCGCGTCTTGTAAGTTGGCCAAGCAAATAAATAGTTATTAGAAACCTGTCAATTTTGTATTAGTTTTCTCAATTAATTTGTTGGTAGTTGCTTAACCTGCAACTAGCCATGAATAGAAAATCAATATTGCTATTTTTTTTCATTTTTGGAAGTGAATCTTAAGTATTAAGTAAATTAGAGGGTTGTGCAGGTTCCGATTGGGGTTCTAAATTTATAGGTCTGTGAAAAAAAAATAACTTGGATAAAAAATCATGGAAAATTTAATTTGAAGGTAAGTTTGATCCATTTATCTGAAAATCTAAAATTGTTAAAATTTGAGAAAAGAAATTTTTGTTCAAAAAATAAGTAATTTTACAAAATTTTGGTAGGGAAAACTTTAATTGGTAAAAAATATTTTTTTTAATAAAAATATTACACGGAAATTTGGGATTGTTTTGTATCGGCTTAGGCCACGAAGATTAATGTGTCTGAGATAATGAAGATAGTAAAAATCGGAATATTTTGGTTTATTTTTTTTATTATTTATGAATTATATGTAAGCTTTGTTATTTAAATAATTCATATAGCAATAGGGAAGTTTAAATATTAAGGAATCTTAGATTTACTAACAAAATGTAATTTGTTTTAAAGTAGAACATCACCTAGTGTTTGGAACTGAAGAAATTCCATCTGTCTGAAATAAGCCCTATTAAAATTTTATGGGCCACAGATGGGATTGATCCATCTACTATGGAACTAATGTGTTGTTAATTTCTTAATTAATTGTAAATTTTTGAAACACCAAAAGTGTGCAGACTATATATTATCAAACTCTTGACTGGAACCTTCGGCACTGTACTAACATACAATAACGCGTTTTACCACAAACCGAAGCTCAATTTTACGTACTCGACGCGCGTTTCGCCAACCAAGTTGGCATCTTCGGGAGAAGATTAAAACTAGTTAGTAGAAGATGCCAACTTGGTTGGCGAAACGCGCGTCGAGTACGTAAAATTGAGTTTCGGTTTGTGGTAAAACGCGTTATTGTGTGTTATTTATACATTAACGATTTATAACTTTAATATATTAAGTTTTTGTAAATTGTAAATCGTTCCAGAACTTTGAGCACTACGGGTAACTAATTTGCAAACACCCAGCGACCCAGTTTTGCAAGAAATTGAATCCTTTTTTTTTAATCTATTTATTCATTTATTTCCCTTTTTTCCTCTTTCTTATCATAATTATGTCTCTTTTTTTTTCCTTTTTTTAACCAGTATTTCGAGTTGCTTTTATATATTGTTTAGACCAGGAGCTGCGTGGCAAATTTTCGGCGCCCAACGTGGAGCCCACGCTATTTTGGACTACACATGCGCAGAAGCAATCACGCAAATTACTTAAGATTTTTGAACGAAAATTTTATAGTTATCGCCTAATCACCCACACTACAAGTATCTCGTTGCACAGTTCAACTGCACTGGTCGGGAATAAACGAGGTGACGTTCAATTCGATGTAAGCGCTTCGCGAGATATTGTTAGGCATACCCTTTTTTTTCTGTTTCTGCTACGCTCGGTCGTATAATCGTTAGATTTTTTTGTGCTATACCGACACGGAGATTCAATAATCATGTAGTTTTACTCTCGAAAAATTTGTATACAAAAGTTGACGTACCGGTAATACTGAGTATGATCGTTGTCGAGTTATTAATAATTAGTTATCTATATTGCCCCTGTTAGCCTGTGGTGATCACCTAAGGAAATTTAACTTTTGTGTATTTCTATTATTTTGGGAATTACGTACTAAACGGGCTGTCAACTTGTTGTGGGGACGGCAATTAAATTTTGCGGAGTTTAGGTCGGTACGTCGCGGATTTGTAATTTCTTATTTTCTCCGCGTATTAAATTACGTAGACCAGTTTTCATCTTTTTTTAACGCAAGTCCATAAGTAGCGGTCGGTAGGGTGGATAAGTAATCGAACTTCACTACTTACATGTCTGCAACAAGTTACTGTAAGAATACGGTGGTGGTGTTGCTAATTCTTAGACGAATATTGAACGATGTTTCCAAACGTTATATTACCTTTTTTCTAACGGAGAAAATAAAACGTTAAATTAAAAATTGGTGTTATTTTTTTTACAGCCGGAAAATCTTCTGTTAGCCAGCAAGGCGAAAGGAGCGGCTGTGAAACTGGCTGATTTCGGACTGGCGATCGAGGTGCAGGGGGAGCAACAGGCATGGTTCGGGTTCGCTGGTACCCCCGGCTATTTGTCCCCGGAGGTGCTCAAGAAGGAACCTTATGGGAAGCCGGTGGACATCTGGGCTTGTGGGGTCATACTCTACATTCTGCTCGTCGGTTATCCACCGTTTTGGGACGAGGATCAACACCGATTGTATGCCCAGATAAAAGCCGGGGCTTATGACGTAAGATGGCAAACATTTAAAAAAATTTACAAACCTGTAGTTTTACAATTTTCTCTAGTTACGGGGGATTGTGCTATGTGACTTTCAGTATATTTCGTAAGCGTGAAGCATAGGAAAAATTTAATTACTTGTTTTATGTATTCAACCGATTTTTTCTTTTGTTTTTCTTGGCTGTTGGTATCTATCATATTATTATTACAAATAAATAAATGTACATATAATAATAGTATTTAATAACTAAAAAAACAATATGTAACTGAAAAAAAAAACTGGAAATAAAATACGTGATGTTTCACAGTCGATATTACTTTAGACGTTTACGACGAACGGTACATTGAATTGTTATGAAAATTTTTGTTGTTGTATAAGCGGCGATGCTCTAGCGATGTAAAATATTTTAATGGCAGACAATGTATGTTATTGCATTTTCTTATCCGTTAATACTTACCTATCTTCAGCGGTTTTCCAGAAAATAATTATTTTCTTCACTTTTCCGTTCAAAACATAGCTTCAATTAAATTTTAATTACTACGAAACTGGAGCCGGTAGAAAGTTAAAATTTTGGACATACATTATACAGGGTTGCTCAAAACTTCTGATTTAACTAGATACAATGCATTTTTCAATCGTTTGGGTTAACTACCAGATACAAAAAATTGTGAAAAGTACATTTTTAAATTTATTTGGCACCGGTGCCGAGCAAGAAAGAGCTTTGTCATCGGATTTTACGTTGCTTTGAACAAATAGATCTATCGGAAATGAAAAAGGCTACTACTATCACGTCAGTTCAGCGGATTTTAAAGTGTTTAAATTTGGATTGACTTTTCTGTGTCAATTTTTTGTTTTAAGTAACTAATATTTTGTTACTGTAAATAGTTTTTAACATGTTTTTCGTAAAATAGTTTGTAAAGCGTTTCCTCATTCTGACAAATTTTTTCTTGTGTTGTGAAACAAGAATAATTTCATTCAATTTTCTGAATGTTTTGGTAATGTGGTTATTATCCATTGTCGATGCATAATAAAGATATTCATTAAAACAACATTAAAATACTGGTTTCCTTCTAATTTGAACCGATTGTATCAACAGTTTGCGTCACAATCAAGAAATAGGTAAATCTTTATTGAACTGAAATGAATTATTTTACATAAGATGGATATTTCATGGCCACCTAAAAGATGAATTATCCCAAAAAAATCCAGTTTTTGGAGATAATTGATTTTATTTCAGAAACCAAAAGGAATTTAATTTGCTCTGAGAATATTTGGTAATATGCAGAGCGTTTCATTAAAAAAAAGCCGTTTTCGACATTTTTGTATATTATGCAAAATATTAGTTTTGGCCAACTCTGTATGATATAGAACTAATTTCGATATTAGGATGTTTCAGTACCTCTCTAAGCTATTACCGAAATTTTAATTTTCTACTGACTCCAGTATCGTAGTAACAAAAATTTAAATGAAGCGAAAAATAAAGAAAATAAATTATTTCTAGGACCGTATTGTTCAAAAGCAATCATAACTTTTTAGCGAATCGGAAAATGCGATAGAGCATCGCCGCTATTGGAACTTACTAAATTTTCAGGACGTTCCAATGTACCGTTCGAGGTAAACGTCTAAGGTACCATCAACCGTAAAAGACCCTGTATAAGGACCACTTATATTTCACGTTTTATTTATTTCCGCCCACTTGAAATTTAATATTAGGATTGCCAAATCTTATTGTGAAATATTTATTATTGGCACTCCATCATCCTGAGTTTACTTAAAAGTATGTAGGTACTAAATTAAGGGCGTACTCCTAGTGCTAAATTGACCAAATAAGTTTCTATAAATAGAAGTTGTAAAATTCAGCTTTTATTTTAGATTTTCAACATGTAAAGGTCCTTTTTTTGATTCTTTTTTAATAATATTTCAAGGAATTGTTAAAAATGTAACATTAAGTTCAGTGACGTCCTAAGAGGCTTCTTCGCCAATAATATGGTACGCCGCTGACTTTATTTGTGGTCCACAAAATATGTTGTAATGCTGGGTTTTCAACATTTGGGCTAGTTTCATTTTTCTGGGTTTTTAATAATGCAAACTAAAAGTAATACTAGTTAAGCATAATAGATAAGGACAGCCTGCCAAGCGCTAATGAAAACATATTTTTAAATATTAAAAAAGTTAGCTACATAAATAAATTTTTCATTATAACAATAGTGGAAACTTATATATCCCAGATTTAAACACAAGTTTTGTCACCTATATTTAGAAATTTTCTTATATTTTATTGAAATTTTCATGAAAAATCTTCAAACTCCGTAGCATGTATGCCCCAATAATTTTTTCTAAATTCAAATTCTTATTCGAACATAATATTTTCAGAACGTAATTCATTTGTTTAATTTTATCGAAACTTATTATAATATTATTGTTGTTATTAGCTTAATCTGACGAGCTGTGGAAAAAGGCTCTTGCCAAATCGTGTCTACTGTTCCAGATATCTACCCATAATATCATTTTAACAAACGGTCAGAAATTAACCCCAATTAAACAAACGCCCTCTATCCCCGATCATTATACGATAAGCACTACAGCCTGGCTATGTCGAGTACTAATAAATCTTCTTGAAGGGTGTGGCAATGTTTTACTCGCTTGCGGAAAGTACCGTTCTTTTATGTTTGGCGTACTTAATTATTGGACATGTTTTCATTTATAAATACATGAATGAATAACTAAGCAAATGTTAGGAACCATAACAGAATTTCGAGATCAATCAATCGAAAAATACAAAAAATCTCGCACTTTTTTTGCTCATTTCCTCATTCATGAGGATCGTGACCTCTTTGGAATGTCCCTATTTCCTTTCCTATTGTCTCCTTACATATTTCTCTGGAACTTTATTGATATGACTGAGACCATCTCATAGGCGATCGGTCTCTATTTCTCTTTCCCTGTACTTATCCCATCACCTGTCTATATTGTCATCTAGCTATGTGTTCAAAATATGAGTGATTAGTTCTTTTTGGGATCTCTCTTTGCGATATTTGCATTCTTTAACTCTTAAGTGTCCACGATTCTGAGCCATATGAGAAGATTGGAAAGACCAACGTTCGGACCAGATTCATTTTAGTGGTTTTAGTTATGTATGATCTTTTCCATATATTGATTTTAAATATGTAAAGCTAACCTTTTGAGATCATCAAGCAGGTGAGTCCTGTTTACGACATTATCATTAGTTTTGTTGGGAATATAAGAATTTGAAATTTTCAGTGATTTGCGCTTAAAGAAGTTTACATACGTATTAAACCTGGTCAAATTGTTGTTGTTCATTGTTTTTCCGAATAGGGGAGGACTAAATAGAGGATCTGGAATTTGATTAACAATCATTAATGCATATCTTGAGTATACTTACCTAGGGACAAAAATTGATAAACAAGGACAGAAGAAGAAGTTGAACATCGAATTATGATAGGAATACAAACAATCGGCCGCGTGGTCCAGATGTAAATCTCGTGAACGAAAAAAGTGTCTTCTTGAGTACAGGCTTATATGGATACAAAACCTGGCAGATCAAGAAATCCTTACAACGTCGACTATTAGCACTAGATATGGATTAACGAAGAAGATCGGTTGGTAAATCAAGGCTCCAAAAAATTAGAAACGAAGTCATAAGAGAAATAAAGAAATACAGAAACGAAAACTAAGGTGTTATGGAAAGAATGGATGAAAAACGTATTCCGTAGCAAATATTGAAATGGATCGTATGGATATATATATATATATATATATATATATATATATATATATATATATATATATATATATATATATATATATATATATATATATATATATATGGAATCCTGCAAATCCTGCATCCGACTGGAATCCTGCAGACGTTTCGCCAAAATCTCACTTGGCATCTTCCGAAAACACTTCGAACACTCAGTGTTATATATATATATATATATATATATATATATATATATATATATATATATATATATATATATATATATATATATATATATATATATATATATATATATATATATATATATATATATATATATATATATATATATATATATATATATATATGATGACACTATATTCCGGGATATCATCCGTTCGCTCGTTGAACTCCGACTGGAATCCTGCATCCGACTGGAATCCTGCAAATCCTGCATCCGACTGGAATCCTTCGAACACTGAGTGTTCGAAGTGTTTTCGGAGCGCGAGCATTGAAGATGCCAAGTGAGATTTTGGCGAAACGTCTGCAGGATTCCAGTCGGATGCAGGATTTGTAGGATTCCATATATATATATATATATATATATATATATATATATATATATATATATATATATATATATATATATATATATATATATATATATATATATATATATATATATATATATATATATATATATATATATATATATATATATATATATATATATATATATATATATATATATATATATATATATATATATATATATATATATATATATATATATATATCCATACGATCCATTTCAATATTTGCTACGGAATACGTTTTTCATCCATTCTTTCCATAACACCTTAGTTTTCGTTTCTGTATTTCTTTATTTCTCTAATGACTTCGTTTCTAATTTTTTGGAGCCTTGATTTACCAACCGATCTTCTTCGTTAATCCATATCTAGTGCTAATAGTCGACGTTGTAAGGATATATATAATTTATTTATTATTTATTTATTCTTAAAAGTCTATAATGATATTCAGTTATTCAGTTTGTAGTTCATATTTTGGTATTTTCGCCTGGGGTATAAATTAACTTGTTGTTTTAAAACGAAATTCCGTTCTAGTTGGTGAGATAAATAAGGTTTTTTTTAAAGGCACTAAAGGCCAGAGATTTTGACATCGATTTTAAACCACAAAATAGCCCTATAAGAGACAGCATACCTATTTGTACATTTTCTATGACTTTCGAAATAAACTCTTGAGAAACATTAACGGAAAACTTGAAAATCCGTTTTTTTATTTACTTCCTATATTTAATGACTTCTGTTGAATTTTAGAATATTTAGAATATTTAACCTTCTCCACAAGTACTAAAAGTCAACACATGAAATAAATAAAAACTTTAAGCACAAAGGAATAATAACAATTACAGCGCTAATAGGTCACAGGCATGCGAGTGCATCATTTATAACATTTAATTTAATTTTTTGTTTATAGGGGAGATCCATTATGATTGTGCACTTATAACATCTTCATTTAAGAATATTATGCGATTCGTATATATGTGTTTTGCGTAGTTTCGTATAGGCGAAATTAAATAATATTCGGATCCATGGTGACAATCGACGTAATGCTATCATGTGAATGCAAAATATATTTTTTGCGCTCCATTTCTGTTGTATGTTCGTTGTAATCATGGGACAGGTGGCTATGGCTGGAATTTTCGAAGTATTTGACTTTTTGTTTTTTAATATGTAAATTTGGAGTCCTTTGTGGTGCAAATGTAATAAGTTTTAAAAGTACAATTGTGACATGTGACACACCAGATGAACAAATGTAGAGCTACTAACCTAGTTCTAGAACAATATCTTATCGAGCAAGATTTAACTATTTGTCACTCTACTTGAAAAAAATTAAAAATAATGAAACTCCAAAAATGGGTTACAATACCCATACTAGGGTTCTTTCGTCAAAACAACAACAAGCTTTATCAAAACATATAATGCTTTCAGCTGTTATCTTTTTTGTGTTTATACTGAAAAAGATTTCGATTATACATTTTGACCAAATTGCTATTCCTGGCCCAGCTACCTTGACTCCGAGAAAATTGGTAGTTCTTAGTCTGCTTGAGAAAATAAGGTCACTTCCAAAAGCTACTCAGACCTGCAGGAAATTTAACAGTGGATAGTGACGATAATTGAGCCCAAAAACTACAACATCTATAAAACAAGAAAGCAAAAATTTAAAGTTAAAAGAAAAAGATGAACCGAACGATAGCACAGGTGATGATTCAGCTGACATTTTATAAGCTTAGCTCAGATGCGACTTGCAGCTCATTGCATATGAGCACAAATCACGTATAGTCCTTTCATAGATAAATGGGTTTCGCCTAATAACTGCAATAAAAAGTTGTCTTATCTGCAGTCGTAAGTTTGCAGTAGTATGTGCCGGACTAAAATTATTATTTGAAAAGGTAGTACGTCCATATGGTTTATTATTTTTACAAAATTAGTCTTAATTGCTCAGGGAAAGTTGTTTTGTCAGATATTGATTTTTACAAACATGGTTAAACACGTTAAAACTACCATGATGATACAACTGCAGACTTTTTGAAACAATGGTTCATAAAGTTAACATTATTCAGAGTTCAAGGATCAAATAAAAGTTGGATATTGATAATTAGATGGCAGCAGATTTTTTAGAAGAAAGTTGTAAAAATAAGTTAGCTTTTATAAGTTAAAGAAAAGCATAATTGTGACTCGTAAGCAGAAGAAATGGAAAATAAAATATTGCCACCATATGTACCTTCAATCCTATAGAGCAGATGTGGCACCAACTAAAATTAAACACTTGAAAAAATCCTTCTCTCGCTTTAAGCGCTTTGGGTGTAAATTTAATTAGAAAATATGTTAATGGGGCTCCCCCGGATATTTAAGAACTTATTTGTAAATGCAATTTACCGACTATTTTTACTGTCTAAATTGTGACGATGGTGAAATCTGTGATTAGTTTTATTTCTTGTAAGCACTTTTGTTCTTGTCTGTTGACTGTTCAAACTTTCATTTTTTGTTATGGAAGTACCTAGATACTACATAGTTCCAGTTAACATTTGCATCATCTGGAATTAAATTTCGGCAAATTGTGTTCCTGGAGATAGTTTGTGCATCAAAAATAATAAATAAATCGATTTACAAGAGTTTTTCAACATTTGTTTAATATATAGGTTGTTTTTAAAAATATAAAAAAAAATTATAGCATTTTTAATTCAGGTACCTCTTTAAGTTCCCATAAAATTAACTTAAACTTAATTTAATTTTAGAATGTCAAAACCATATTAACTTTGGATCAATTTTGACGATTTCTGTAGGTGCATTTCAAGATTTGCTTTGAAGTTGAGTGTAGAAAATAGAAAAAATAACTTTTTCCGATAAATTATTTTGATATTAATTCAAAATTAACAAATGAACATTTACCAGGAACGCTACTCTAACTGAGCTACAACCATTTTTAGACCAATTAAAAGAAACCTTTTTTTACCTACTTTTTATTTTATTATTTTTTATTTATTTAAATTATATTTTATTGAATTAATTATTAAAAATGTCCACCCAGTTCCTGTATACATGGTCTAGCTCTTCTTAGAATTGAAGAGCATCAGCACGAATAGTTTCTGCGGCATCCATAATTCTAGCTACCATTTGTTCTCTGTTTTCAGTACTTTCTGCATAAACTAAAGTTTTCAGTTTTCCCCATAACAAGTAATCTTAGGGATTAAGGTCAGGTGACCTTGATGGGTGAGGAACTGCTGAACATCTTCCAATCTACCGGTTTGTATAATTTTTCATATCCAGAGTGAGGAGATGTGTCATTGTGCCGAGTCCACATTCGTCGTCTTACATTAAGAAGAACATCATTCAGTAATATTGGAAGATCATTTTCAACGAAGCTTAAATAACGAATGGCCGTGAGACGTTCTTCAATTATAAACGGACCAATGAGGCGGTTATCAATAATGCCACACCAAATATTGTGCGAAGTTGTCCATACTTTCATCCCGCTTACGTTAAGTCTATTATCTATTCTTCGGACATTAGTAGAAGGTTGAGCATGATTCTTATTAAGTATTGCCTTTTTTTAAGCAAGTTCCTGTTGAACTGGGCGTACGGAAGTTGCTGTTTCTTTCAAAGATCGATGGACATTGCTAAAAACCAGTTCTACAAGGCACTCGGCGAGTGGAAAATCTTCGACGATATTACACAATCCATGAACAAAGTGAATGTCGGCGTATTCTTCATTCGAAAAAGTAAACATTGTACCTTGAAGATGTAATACACGAAAATAAACACGCAAAATTAATTTAATTGACGTTTACTATCACCTAAGATTCACAGTCACCTTAATAATAATACCACCAGTCGAACGTAATACTGGATCAACTAATTCAATAAAGCGGTTTCTTTTTAAACAGTCTTTAAAATTTTAAAGCTCAGTTAGGATAACGTTCAGGATATATGTTCATTTGGCATTTTTAATCATCCCAGCTACACTCTCCCAAGCTATATCGTGGAACACCCTCTCTATAGAACTAATATTTTGACAAGTAAAGGAAAATGTTCATAAACAATCGTAAATTGATTTATCTAATATTTTAAAAATTAAAACTTAATAAAAAAAAATTATAAAAAATATTCTCATATGATGCAGTGATACTAGGTCAGGGTTGTAAATTGTTACAAATGTTGAAATGAACGTTTTATTTATTGAGAAAATACTGTTTTATTTTTATGCTTCCAGTATCCCAGTCCTGAATGGGATACCGTAACTCCAGAAGCCAAGAATCTAATCAATCAAATGCTCACGGTGAATCCTGGCAAAAGGATCACGGCGGCGGAAGCCTTGAAACATCCTTGGATTTGCGTAAGTATGAGAGAAGTAATTCCTCTTGAATTTCCGTCATTTAGTTTTTGTTGCGACATTTGCGTCTCAATTCAAATGATTTATTTGAACCTCTATTGGAATCTCGGTATTCTTTGTTACGATAGAATTTGACTATACAGGGTGTTCTGAAATGTATGCTATAGTTTACTTCGAGATACTGGGAGTTGGCATTATAAAACTATTTTTTATCATAATTTTCAAACCATTTTATATTTCATTTAGATATTTGCTTTCGAGCAGCATATTTCTTAAAAAAATTGACAGTGGCATCCATGCCAGAATTGTGTGGAACATTTTTTAAGAAATAAATCCCCATTGAATTTGGAACAATGTTGATCTTTTGACTTTTTTCCGAAGGTTGCACCATTTTTCGGTAAAAAAGATGTTTAAAAAAGTTTCAAATAATTTTTTCTAAGTTTTTATAAACAATGTAACAAATGTCGTTTGCTGCTTAAAAATACTGTACAAAATGTCAATGAAATATGGGTTGACAATTATTATAAAAACATTTATTTTCTTATAATTTCAATTCCCTCGGAAAGTAATCGTTTTCCGATATATGTACCAACTTCCGAACACCGCACATAGTAGACCGCAAAACCATTTTTCATCGGTCAGGGCAGACCACAAATTTAAAATTTGCCCTCTTCGTCAATGAAATTGGAATGCTTTTCTAACTTAGGTATAAACGTAATTCGGTTAGAGAGCGTGGTTGAGTGTAATAGAAAAAATATCTCCATTTTCTTGTGTTGTTTGTATTTTAATTCTCCTTTTCTTGTGCTTTAATTTTTTTTTAAATTTGAATGTTTTTTTATTTTAAGACAATTTATTCAAAAAATTAATAACAATCGGCTACGTAATAAAGACCTGTCACTCTTCTTTTTGTCTTAAAACCAATCAAGTATTCAGTCAGTACAGACAATTCTATTTACACTTAAAATGATAAAATTAAAATGGTTGTAAGCCGCTGATTCGACTACCTCGTCAAAAGTTACTTAGCGAAACGTCTTCATAAAAAGTCCTAGGAGCTCTAAAAGAGTTATAAAACTTCTTGAACCGTGTACCAGGTTTGTCGAATAATATTAATTTTAGATAAGAGTTAAAGGGTCTTTATTTTTAAAATTATTGACAATGGTTATTGGAATAGTTGATCATAATTGAAAAGTCAGATATCCAAAACTGTTTTTTCGGATATCCGACAGTAGTTTTCAATTATGATCAATTTCAACAACAACGCCCACAACTATTAACAATTGTCGATATTTTCAAAAACAGGTCATGGAAAACTTTCTAAAGGAATATACTTTTTTGATAAAACTGAGAAAAAAAGTGTCCAATTGGATGCAGTGTATAAGAAAATGTTTCAAACACTTCCACAGGCTACTGTAACACTATTTACAAATCTTCTGGATTGCTCCTGCGTCAGTTATTAATGATTCCAACTTGCTGACGTTTCGCCAATCATTCTGTTGATGTTTCAGACCTTAACTGAAACTGGCTCGCATTCTTCTCTGCACCTGCTTATATATTATTTGAGAGGGGGAGCTAAAGGAGGGACATGAACATTGTGTGGAATGACTAAGACTGAGAGATATTAAGCGTTCCACACTTGTCCTTCCTTATATTCAAACCATCCCTGATGATCAAATATCAAAACTTAAGAAACATAACCAGATTTACCACTTGTCCAAAAATCTATCAACGTCTTCGATTTGGCAAAGACAAAAGTCCGTTTGAGATACCAGCATTCCATAAATATGCGGCAAAGAATACATTGGAGACAGCGGACGAAAAATATCAACTAGGCTCAAACAACATGAAAGAGCCTTAAAATTATGACAAATAAACCCATAAGCAGTTGTCGAACACAATTACGAAACCAGATATCAAATCTATACAACGAATTGTTTATCCAACGAAAAATCTGAGAATCTATTGAAATTTATAAGCAACCAAACAATCCTAACTTAAGACTCAGGTCTTTACCTTTCACGAATGTGGAAATCAGTCATCCAAGACAATGTTCTTGAACCTTCTTTAGCTCGTCCCCCTCAAACAATATATAAGCAGGTACAAACTCTGAAGAAGCCAACAGGATGATTGGCGGAACGTCAGTAAGTTCGATTTATCAACAACCAACGCAGTAGGAGTCCAGAAGATTTGTAAATAGTACTAAAGAAATTTTGCACAATCTTGTATTTCAGCAACGGGAACGTGTCGCTTCTGTGGTTCATCGACAAGAGACCGTGGACTGCCTCAAGAAATTCAACGCTAGACGCAAACTAAAGGTCAGTCAGAATCAATTTCCGCAATGCCAGATTGGGTACTAAATGTATGTTGCAGGGTGCTATTCTCACCACAATGTTGGCTACGCGTAACTTCTCAAGTAAGTTTACTCACATTTTTTTAGGTAGACCTATTAATATTTTCGGTTATTATTTTAATCGGTTCAATTTTGAATAATTTCAGAAAATATCACGATACTAATACTCGATGTTTAGAGATTTGTTATCGGTAATTACCATGTGTAACTTCACTTGTTCGGAACACATAACGTTTATCTCTCATATCTGCCGATCTGACGTCCTGTTTAATCTAAGGGATAGATAGTCCCGAACACTCACCGATAGAAAACATACACGACAAAATTTACACAATGTTGAGCAAAATTAAGATTTTTTTTCAATATTTTTTTTTTACATCGGATCTATTTTCATGGCATTTCATGATCAATGCAATTCAATCAATCAATGCTAACGGCATAGATAATGTTCGTTATGATGATGGTTCATCATATAATTTTAATTCTGTAAGACATAAATAACTTGTATAATACCTATTTAATTTATAACGTTAATCATATGACACATGATATGCAGTGTGTTTCAGACTTAATGAATCGATAAACGTCAACAAATAAACAAAATTTTCTTAATATTCTATTTAATGGAGTGTTTTAAAATGCAATGCAAGGATTCTAAAGGCTTGTCTATCTATGTATTTGTAGACTGATTAATGAAATAACGGTTTTTAACTTTTATCTTGAACATGACGTTATAGTTACAAAAAAAACAATGAAAAAAAAGTTTCACTTTGGATTGCTTGGTCGAAAAAAATTATTAATCTTCGCAAAGCCAATTATGTCCAATAATTTTACCTATTAATATCAATTAGATCATCCTCTGGGATACAACAAAATGAAATCACTTAAGATGACAAATAAACGTGCCAAGTTTTGTCAAAATCAGCTAAAATGTTTCTGAGTAATTGATAAAAAAACGGTCGGTTTCTGTAAACTTTGTATTTCAAAAACTAAGAAAGTTAGAAGATGCTTATAATTCTTGGCTGATAAATACGCTCTTAAAAAATTTTGTACTGATTTCTGTAACACCCTGTTAATTTGATTGGTTATCTGAGTTTTCATATTCCATATTGTAATTGGCTGCTATCCTCTTGGAACAAAAGTTGTAAAATTATTTTCAAGTATTCAGGATGACTCAAAAAAGCGTGACAAATAACATAATTGTTTTTAAATGGAACGGCCTTTTTTTATTTTGTTTTGAATCGTTTTATATTAATAATAATACATACATACCTAAACCCAATTATTTTTCCAATATTTCTATTTAAAAAAAAACTAGGTTTCACACTTGCAAAAATATTAGGATAGCGCCATTATTTTTGAAGGTAGATCACACATATTTGATATTAGCGTTATTCGAAGATGCAACGTAATTTGAATTAGATGATACAGGGTGTTCAAAATAAACCAATATATTTGAATTAATTTAAATTAAAAATTCTCGATTTTATTAAATGGTACACCAATTATATTCTTATTTTTAATATTTTGCGATTTATTTTAACTTTTCCAAAAGTTATTCAACAAAGCTCTGTTAACATTGAAAAATGAACAGGAGAAAGGACTTTATAAAGCAACAACAAAAAAAGTAAATTATATTAAATACCTATTACAACAAATTTACTTATCGTATTTTTGATTATTATTAGGGCGCAGTAAATATTAAAAAATATTTACCACTTTCTTGAATTACCCTTTACAAAGTGACTCTTCGTTAGATTAATTTTCCATACTTTTTAAAAATTAGTTCTCAACAATTAAACGCATAGTCTTTAAAAAAAAATGCTTAGGTCCATCGTTAGGCGGTTAAATTTGAAACACAGTAACATATTCATTTTTTGAAAAAGGTTCGATTTTTGAGTAAAACGTCAAAAATTGCTATCGCAGACATAAAACGAAATTTGAAAGTCCATTTTATTCCAGTCAGGAAATGTGAATTTAGATCGTCTTTTACATTTATCCTCTGGTCAAACTTTATCAAAATTAGCTTCTTTGTATTTGGTTATAAACACGGTTTTTGCCTTTTTCTGTTTCCTGCTTATCTTGAACGTTAACTATATTTTCGATTCACCGATTCTTAAAGAATACCATGAGATTCAGTTCCGATGTCTACGTGAAACTTTGCACTACATCAATCTCTATAGCCTGTAAATATAGTTTCTATTTCCTACCTCTGAGACGTAAAGCATGAATTAATTAGTGCTAGCCTTTGATTAAAGTCGACCTTAGGTCGAGCGCTAAATTGTAGGTTCTCTTTTGACAATTTCTTCCGGCCTTGTTACGTTATAGTGTTTACTGACCTCTGTAAATAGAGCTATATGAAGATGCTCCAAGCTACACCGTTTATTTTTCGTTTTTGTCAATTATTTTGCTCAAACGCGCCTCACTCCGAAACGAGCATGACTTTATTTTCCGTTTGGAAAAAAAAGTGATGCTCGTCAATACACACACACACACACACACACACACACACACACACACACACACAAACACACACACACACACACACACACACACACACACACACACACAGACACACACATATACGTGCCATACGCATACACACACTCACATACACGCTCTGTCTACTTTTTCCACTTAGTAGCTATATGCATAATATAATATTTAGAATTAGTGAGCATTGGGTAGTTGGTAATTTTGTTTTGTCGGTTGTGGCGGACTTGTCACCTTACCTCACTTCACTTCACCCTGACGCAACCAGAATGCGGTAAGAACACACTGAAAGCATCTCGCAATTTTTCGTTTCTTTGAAATTTTCCAACAAAAAGATAAACGCCACATCTGTTTCCTTTTCTTTTCGCTTCGCTTTTGGCCTGATGATATAGCTTTCCAATCTGAAATGCTGACGTTATTAGCTTTGATCGGCTTTGTCTGTTTTGCTACGTTTTGCGGTCGAGAAATTTAGACGTAAAATTACACCCCTGTTTAAAAATTAATACTACCCTTATTTTAAAGTAAAAATTGCTGCAACACAAAACTTGGGCGCCATATATTTTATGTAAGGTATGTCAAAAACGTTTAAGACATTGGCCTAATGGAACCAGGCGATTCCTATTTTTTGAAATACCTACATATAATACTAAAAATTTGAAAAACGTTGTTTATCAGAACCACAAATCTGCAATTAGATCACGTCCACATGGCCCAGATGTCTCAACCTAAAATAGATGAAGATACCCTTAGTGATCTTGTTGAAATATGGAGTGTTCTCAGCAACGACAGTTATTTTCACTATCAGAACTTAATAACTAATTAATAATAGTGAGGAACTTAGGTAAACCGAAAGATCTTTCTAGGCTTAGAAATAAAATTTACTGGCACAAGACGTTCAGGAAGCGCGAGACAGAATTTATAGCTATTTTAAACATAGAGGTTCACTCGTTTATTACATCAATATTTCTGATCTAGTACACAAACTTGGTGCAGACTGCAAATTTTATTGACTCATCCAAGAGAAGTCTTAAAGCTGTTCGTTTGCACAACGGAAATGTTCTTGTTTCTGTACCTGTTGGTTATTCCGTGCAAATACAGCAATGCTAGCAAAATCTGGAAGTACTGCTTGAAAAAATTAAACACAGACCATTGTTTATGGAAGCTCAAGACTTTGTGAATACCATGATCGAATGTTGCATGGGTTGCATTTACTGTTGTTATAAAAGCTTTTCTAAATCCACTAAATGAAGTTTTTATACTAATAAGGATAATGTTTAAAATAACCAAGATTTTAAGTTATTAATTCTTTTAATGTTGATAAAAAAACTTACTTGATAGAGGAAAATGCTTATCTAATTTGAATTTAAGAAACCGAAATTATACAGAATAAAATTAAATCAACAAATTTTAAAAATTGTTGGTCTGTTTAAGCTATTAAGTCTAGACCAAACTACTGATACATACTCTAATTTTAATCCAACATATCAGATTTTTATTACTTCCGTTTTTGTTAAAGTGTTGCACGATATATCCCTATCCAACCTTTTTTTTTTTCAGAAAATTTATATTTTTAGCAATTATGTTATAAAACGCCATGTGGCTGACCTTGTAATCGTTATACATCGATAGCTTAAGACAAGTCTCTTTTTAACGGATCTTTAGCTCTCTTCAATTAGCATCATGCTTTTGCCCTTACCCATAATGGGACGAGGTATTTATTTAATAATTTAAGTTTTTAAATAAACTTAGTGAAAAAGACTAAGGACCTGGTGTATAAAACACATTTAAAAAAATGTATTAAACTATGAGCGGAGATTTAAAAAATTACCAAATTAAAATATAAAAAACGATGCAAATTTATTAATAATCACGAACAAAGTTTGATTGTTGCCGATTTTTCACTTATTTTTGAAACTTGAAAGTCATAGAATTTCTTATGTTTTTGAACTTTCTTTATTGAAATGACAATCTTACGCAGCATCTTATTCTTAATATCACGGCGTTTCCTACCAAATTAATTGTTTACCTTGGTCAATATGGACCATTTTGAACTACTTCGAGTTCCACAATACAAGCCGTCAGTCTACAAATGGCACTAAATGACTAGATTATGGCATTTTGTGCAAACGTAAACATGATAAACAGTTGTTTAAAGAAGTCGAACAGGGCTATGAGACTGCAGTATGTTGTCGGTCAGACTGAAATAATTAAAGCAATCTCCCGACTTTAAATAAAGGAGCAGCTATATCATTTTTAAATGCCGGCATGTTAGGTTATTATACGTGTTTCATGCATGGATTTTTGTTCGATCACGTTGTATGTCTTCTTATGGTTTTTCATATGTGGCCGCTTTTCTCATCATCATCATCATCATCGCGTCTAGCAACATGACACTCGTCGAACGCTTTTCCTTTTTATCTTACCATAATATATGAATTGAATGTGTTGTTTATAATCAAAAGACTGTCGCGATCCTACCGGTAATTTCCTGAAAATAAATATTGATGCGGATTTGTTAAGCTTTTATACAACAATAATGAATTTTTAATGTAGTTTTAATCAAATCACAT